TAGATGAGATAATTGAGGTACAGAGAGGTTAATTAACTCCTCTCATGTTACACAGTCAGTAGACTGCTTGTTCAGTCCATCTGATTTCAAATTAGGTCTTTTGAGAAAGCTTCCTCTCCTTAGAAAGAGTATATCCACATTTTGCAGTAATATTTAGTTACTGGAAACATGAGAAATAAAGAAATACTTTTTAAATCTTTCCTAATAAATGGAAGGCTGAAAATTCCATGAGATGTTGGAATTTAACTCCCCAATCCTAGTGACTTGAGCATTAGAGTCTTAAGAACTGGTTTTGAACCTTGGAAAACTTAAGTGATTCCAAGTGATATGATCTGGGGTAAGCCCTTGAACTCTTTAGGCCATAATCCAATATATGCATCTTTCATTCTATATATGTACTAAATATAATTGCTGGATGCTATGCCAAACATCCCAGGCATAGAAAGATGCTTGAGACATGGTTCTCTATACTCAGAGTTTATTTTCATTAAATCAATTTTATTAATTCAAAATCACTTTCTTAATAAACATCATTCTTTTAGGTTTCTACTGCAAGCAAGCAGCTACTCAGGGACTCATGCCCAGAGGGACACAGGATAAATTAATAATTCTAAATGAGAGGCCACTGACACCTATGAATCAGAGGACTACTGGGAATAATTTTTCAAACCTGTAGCCAGCTAATCCCATCTTGCCTCACATTCTGTTCTCCTTCGTTACTACCGAAGATGTAAGTGAGCCCCTCTGGTTTTAAGTCTCAACACTGTATTTCTTTAGGCATCCTCTTCCCTGACCCCACGTCTCATTCTCCCTTGCCTCCAAAACTTTCCCATTGTATCCTCCTGTTCCAACATCCACATCTTGGCTAAATGCCCCCTCAACCTCCTTGAATAAGTGGCCACACTTGACTTTTCTCTCTCATGCCTCCTTGCTAACCATCATCACATCCAATCAATCACCAAAATCCTGCTATCTTCTTGTCAGGGAAAACTGTGAAAGACTTTGAAATGGGCAGAACAGATGACTGGGTTTTCTGTCTAGCAAGAGTGCTCTTGCCTAGGTTACGACTCTCAGTTTTTGGTGAGCCTTTCGTTATTTTTCAGATATTTACAACTCTGTAAATTATAGCAAATACAACTAATTCTTATCCATAGAAATGCAACTGAATTGTGTCTTCTGGTGGAATGCAATTGATTATTGCCCTGTGGATATTCACTGGTTTTGCTCCTAATTGTACGTGTGTGTGCACGCATGCGCACACATGCACATGTACACTTTGAATTTTTATTGTAATCTCTTACTGGTTTCCTTATTAATTAATGAGTTAAATAAAATCTGCAACTCATTTGATGTGTGGATGACTTATTTTACTCTTATAAAAAGTATCCTTTAACATTCTGAATCTCTCTTAAATTTGCATACTTCCCCTTACCCCAGTAACCCCTTCTAGTACCGGTTATTACCATGTTTGCCTAGATTATTTTGTTTAGTTACTTATTTTTTTGAGACAGAGTTGTACTCCATCACCCAGGCTGGAGTGCAGTGTGTGATCTTGGCTCACTGCAACCTCCGCCTTCTGAGTTCAAGTGATTCTCCTGCCTCAGGCTCCCAAGTAGCTGAGATTACAGGTGCCCGCCACCATGCCCAGCTAATTTTTGTATTTTTTGTAGGGATGGAGTTTCACCATGCTGGCCAGGCTGGTCTTGAACTCCTGACCTCAGATGATCCACCCACCTTGGCCTCCCAAAGTGCTGGGACTACAAGCATGAGCCAGCACACCTGACCAGCCTAGATTATTTTAAAACTCACTGATTGTACCCTTGCCCATGGTCTTATCCTATTCCATGATCTCTATAACCATTTCTTCAGCATGTGATTCTGAACATACCACTCAACTTCATAAAATCTCCTGCTCCCAGAACAAGTGCAGCCCTCTAGGCCTATTTTGCTTCTCTAGCCTCATGTTTGACATTGACCCACAGTTCACCAGTCAGATTCATTTCAGTTCTCTGAATTCACTGCCCTCTCTTTCACCTCTGGAATAAAGCGCTTGCAATCCACTTTGCATGCAACACACTCCGCAGGCCTCTCCTCTTCCAATTCTTGCCCGTTTTTCAGGGCTCATTTCTGTTACCACTTCCTTCAGGAAGCCTCCTCTAGTCTGGGTTAGATGCTCCACTTATATTCTCCTCTGGAGCCTGCATTCCCTCAGCCCCTTCCCCCCTCCCCTAAGAGCACATATCACACTGTACTATAATTGCTCTCTAATGATCTCCCCTGCTAGTCTGCAAGCTCTGTGCAGGCAGGTGCCATGTTCAGTTTGAATCCTGAAATCCTTACTTAACCATTATATGATCTGGAGTAAGTCCTTGAACTCTTTAGGCCATAATCCAATATGTAAATAATGTCTTTCATAAAGTATATCTTATATCCAATATGTTCAAGCCCATATTGTTTACCACCACATCCCCAGGGCATGGCACAGCATGTAAAAGTCATTCAAGAACATATTCTGAAAGCTGAGTTCTCTACATGGTCTCAAAAAACAACAGAAACTTTACTATAAAAATCCTTCTCATGGACTATGACCCACCCAACCTACCTGAGCTCACCTCTTCCCCTCCCCAAAAAAACACAGGTTATACTTCAATAGAATGTACTTCAGTTATTTAGGTTTTTATTTCATAGATATCTAACCTATTTGCTTTTTAATTGTGAACAGTTCCACTTAATGGCCATCCTAGGAGAGATGAAACAGAGTTTTGTTTTAATTCATGACAGGGAAAAGGGATTGGGAGCAGAAGAAACATAAGAAAAGGAAAAGAAGGTCAGAATTACGTGAAATAGCTATAGTAGACATGATGGGTTCTAGCTGTTGCTCAACCGTTAAAAGAAAAATCTGTTTAATTCTTCTGTTCAACCAAGAAATATGAGTTTTAGAATAAATGTAGAAAATAGTAACTTTGTAATAAGGCACAGAAGCAATACATTAGAGGTCTGTGTTCCTTTCTTTATACTATTTTATATTCGTTTTTTGAAATTAACTGATGTTTATTTAGGTCCCATGTTTATGGTTTGTATTATTCAACCTTTAAAAGGAGGGAAATGGCAGCACATGCTACAATGTGGATAAGACTTGAAGACATTACGCTAAGTGAAATAAGCCAGGTGCAAAAGGACAAATATCATATGATTTTATTTATATGTGGTACTTACAGTACTCAAGTTCATAGAGACAGAAAATAGAACGGTGGTTGCCAGGCTGTGTGGGGAAGGGGGAATGGGGAGTTTTTGGTTAACATGTACAGAGTATCAGTTTTACAAAATGAAAAGAGTTCTGTGGACGGATGGTGGTGGTGATGGTTTCATAACAATGTCAATGTACCTAATGCCACTGAACTGTACACTTCCAGTGGCTGAAACTGTAAATGTTATGGTATAGGTATTTTATCGTAAGAAAAAAGAAAGGGGAAAAGAAAATCCTGCTTTATCACTGAAATTGCAGTAACTGGCAGCTGTTGGTAGGAACCCTGGACAGACTGGGATGTGTAGGATGGCACTGCTGACGCAGGTATAAGAAAGGAAAATATTCTGAATGTAAAGTGACTTCAGAGAAACAGGAGATAAAGGTGAAGGTTGAAAACATTTACAAGAATAAAATCCTGCTTTGTAATGAGTAACAATCAAGTGTTCTCTAAGGGTTGTCTATTAGAACCTCTATGTCTGCATAGCCTTTAAGAAAAACGTCATTTTCTCTATGAAATTGCACTCAGTTGCCAAGGAGAGGGAGGCAGTGCAGTGGCATAGAAAAGAGTCTGGACCCTGAAGCCAGACAGTCTGAAGCTGAACGCCGACTCCACCTTGATGAATGTACTCTGTTTGTGCTTTGGTTTCATCTGGAAATTAGAGATAATAACAATAGCACCTGCCACAAAGAGCTGTTGTGAGGATTAAATATGTAAAGCACTGTGAACAGTGTCTGGCACATGGTGAACCCAACAGGGATATTAGCTCTTACTCACACCCACCGCAATGGTGCTTACAGTACGCTCTGGGAACTCCTGGGGACCCCTGAGATCTTTTAAGGGGTCTGTGAATTTTTTCCATAATAATAAGATATTATTTTCCTTTTTATCACATTCTCTCACAAGTAGACAGTGGATTTTCCCAGTGGCCACTATATACCGTTTGATATCACAACAGATTGAAAGCAGAAGCGGATATGAGAATCTAGCTATCATCTATTAAGTTGAGCATTAAAGACATTTGCAAGATCCTCTTTTCTCAATACCACTCTCCTCACAAAAAATTGTTAAGGTTTGAAAACTGTAATTTTTTTTTTCATGAAGGAAAATATTCTTTTGTTACTGTATAATAGGTTTATTATTTTAAAAATACAACGGAACTTACATAAACAAAAGCTCTTTGTTTTTGGGTTCCCTTTTTTTTTTTTGGTCCTGAGACCAAAAAGTTTGAGAACTGCTGTCTGAGTAAAATATAACATATGTGTCAATTTCTCCCAGTAGACTGAATTCTTGCAGACAAGAATACTATTGCATTTTTTTCTTTTACTTTTCTATCTTTTTTTTTTTTAATTTCCCTCAGGTACCAACTGGCAGTCTTTTTTACATGGTCAGACAATAAATGAAAAGAAAGAAGCTAATGCATATCAGCGACTACCATTTATTCGGGACTTGGTATATGTGACGCATTATGTGCAGACTTTAGGTGCCATAGCTCATTTAACCCCTGTAAGGTTCTGTAAGTATTCCTATTACATACATAGGAGAAACTTAGAGGCTTTCAATAACTTACCCAAGGCATGCAGCTAATAAATGGAAACACTAAGACTCAAGTATTATTGTCTCACTTTAGAGGCCAAACTTGTAACCCCTTTGAAAGAGTGGGAAGGTGTAGAGAAATTTGGAAGGCTATGATTAAGCAAGACAAATTATTTACAAGGCATGGTCCTAGCAGTACCTCTTAAGTACCTAGTTTACCTTTACTAGAGGTCTGTAATCCTGAATTACTCTTGGATGTTCATATTGTCATTTAGAGCAACTTTTATTATGTTTAACACGGAGAACATACTCTCGTACACTGATGTCCAAAAGGCCTTTCCTAAGAAGGTCCATTCCTCATCCACAATGTACTGCCTCTGCTGCCCAGGGAAGTAAAAAGGAGGTACCTCTGAAAGAACGAACACAACACAAATTTTAAGGTGTAACACTTAAAAAAATATATAACAATATTCTGAAAATTTGAGTAATAGAGAAAAAAGTAATTTTATTGCCCTAACTAAAAAATTTCTGGCAAAAATCAGTTGACTATAAATACACGAATTTCTTTCTGGGTTCTCTATTCTGTCCAGTGGTTTGTGCGTCTGATTTTATGCCAATTCTCTGTTGTTTTGGTTACTATGCCTTTGTAGTATATTTTGGAGTCAGATTGTGTGACGCCTCCAGCTTTGTTCTTTTTGTTCAGTATTGCTTTGGCTATTCAGGGTCTTTTGTGGTTCTGTGTAAATTTTAGAATTGTTTATTCTATTTCTGTGAAGAGCAGCATTGGTATTTTGACAGGGATTGCATTGAATCTGTAGATTGCTTTGGGTAATATGGCCGTTTTTTAACAATATTAATACTTCCCATCCATTAGCATGGGATATTTGTCCATTTGTTTATGTTCTTTCCAATTTTCTTTTTTTTTTTCTTTTTGTGAGCCACGGTCTCATTCTGTCATCACCCGGGCTGGAGTGCAGTGCTGTGATCATGGCTCGCTGCAGCCTCAGCCTCCTGGGCTCAAGCAATCCTCCATCTCATCCTCCGGAGTAGCTGGGACTATAGGTGCACGCCACCACATCAGGCTACCTTTCGTATTTTTGTAGAGATGAAATTTTGCCACATTTCCCAGGCTGGTCTGGAGCTCCAGGACTCCAGTGATCCACCTGCCTCAGCCTCCCCAAATGCTAGGATTACAGGCATAAGCCATCCTGCCTGGCCTTTTCAGTTTTTTTCTTTTTTTTTTTGTTGAGACAGAGTCTTACACTGTCCCTGGGGCTGGAGTGCAGTGGTGTGATCTCAGCTCACTGCAACCTCCGACTCTTAGGTTCAAGCAATTCTCCTTGCCTCAGCCTCCCAAGTAGCTGGGATTACAGCAACCGTGCCTGGCTAATTTTTTTGTATTTTTAGTAGAGGCGGGGTTTCACTATGTTGGACAGGCTGGTCTCAAACTCCTGACCTCATGATCCGTCCACCTCAGCCTCCCAAAGTGCTGGGATTACAGGCGTGAGGCACCACACCCGGCCTTCAATTTCTTTTGTGTTTTGTAGCTGCCTTGTATAGGCCTTTTACCTCCTTGATTACATTTATTCCTAGTTGGGCTTTTTTTTTTTTTTTTTTTTTTGGTAGCAATTGTAAATGGGATTGTTTTCTTGATTTTTTTTTACAGTTAGTTTGTTATTGGCGTATATTTTGTGTAAACGACTGATCTTTGTGCATTGATTTTTACACTTTTTTTCACCACATAAGTCCTTGTCTCACATATGTTAATTTTTGTATCCTGCAACTTTCCAGAATTTGTTCATCAGTTCTATGAGTTTTTAGGTAAAGTGTTTAGGATTTTCTATGTATAAGAGCGTTTTATCTGAAAAGAGGCATGACTTCCTCTTTTCCAAATTAGATGCTGTTTCTGTGTTTCTTTTGCTTGATTGTTCTGGCTAGGACTTCCCATACTATGTTGAATGAGGCTGGTGAGTGAGATATCGTTCCAGGTCTTGTTCTGTTGTCCACAGAGTGCAGTGGCCCGATCCCGTTTCACTGCAACCTCCACCTCTCTTCAACCTCCGCTTGCCGGGTTCAAGCAATTCTCCTGCCTCAGCCTCCCAAGTAGCTGGGATTACAGGTGCCTGCCACTGTGCCTGGCTAGTTCTTATATTTTTAGTAAAGATGGGGTTTCACCATACTGGCCAGGCTGGTCTCGAACTCTTGACCTCAGGTGATCCACCCGCCTGGCCTCCCAAAGTGCTGGGAATGCAGGTGTGACACCGACCCTTGGTAGGCTTGAACCACCAACCTTTTGGTTAAGAGCTGAACGCGCTAACTGGTTGCACCACGGAGGTGCTGTCCCAGTTCTTTGAGGAAGGCTTTCACTCTTCCCCATTCAGTGTAATGACAGCTGTGAGTTTCTCATATGTGGTCTTTATTATGTTGAGGTATGATCCTACTGTGACTAATTTGTTGAAAGTTTTTTTTTTTAGACAGAGTCTAGCTCTGTCACCCAGGCTGGAGTGCACGATCTCGGCTCACTGCAACCTCTGCCTCCCGGATTCAAGCGATTCTCCTGCCTCAGTCTCCCGAGTAGCTAGGATTACAGGTGCCTGCCACTACACCCAGCTAATTTTTGTATTTTTAGTAGAGACAGAGTTTCACTGTGTTGGCCAGGCTGGTCTCAAACTCCTGACCTCCTGATCCACCTGCCTCGGCCTCCCAAAGTGCTGGGATTACAAACATGAGCCACCGCGCCTGGACAGTTAAAAGTTTTTGGTCATGAAGGGATGTTGATTTTTATCAATAATTTTTCTGCATCTATTGAGGTGATCATATGGTGTCTTAGCCCATTTTGTGTTGTTAAAAAGGGATACCTGAGGCTAGGTAATTTATTTTTTAAAAAAGGTTTCCCTGGCTTCTGATTCTGATGTCTGAAAAAGATCAAGACTGGGCATCTTCAACTGGTGAGGGGCTTAGGCTGCTTCCACTCATGGTGGAAAGCAAAGGGAAGCCGATTTGTGCAGAAATCACATAGAGAGAGAGGTGGGGAGGTGCCAGGCTCTTTTTAACAACCAGCTCTCGCAGGCACTAACAGAGTGAGAACTCACTTATCTGCAAGACAGGGCATTAATATACTCACGAGGGATCTGCCCCGTGACCCAGACACCTCCCATTAGGGGCCACCTCCGACGCTGAAGATCAAATTTCAACATGAAATTTGGTGGGAACAAATAACTTATATCCAAACTGTAGTATATGTCCTTCATTCTGTTGATGTTGATGTGATGTATCACATTTATTTATTTATTTTTCCTTTCTGTTTTTCAGCTTTTAAGTTCAGGGATACCTGTGCAGGATGTGCAGTTTCGTTACATGGGTAAATGTGTGCCATGGTAGTTTGCTGCGCTCGTCATCCCATTACCCAGGTATTAAGCCAGGATCCACTAGCTATTCTTCCTGATCCTCTCCCTCCTCCCACCCCGCCCTCAGACAGGCTCCAGTGTATGTTCTTCCCCACCATGTTCCATGTGTTCTCATAATTTAGCTCCCACTTGTAAGTAAGAACATGTGGTATTTGGTTTTCTGTTCCTGCATTAGTTTGCAGGAACATACCGGCCTCCAGCTCCATCCATGTCCCTGCAAAGAACATGATCTTGTTCGTTTTTATGGCTGCATAGTGTTCCATGGTGCATATGTGACATGTTTTCTTCACCCAATCTATCACTGATGGACATTTAGGTTGATTCCCTGTCTTTGCTATTGTGAGTAGTGCTGCAATGAACATATGTATGCATGTGTTTTTATAGTAGAATAAATTATATTCCTTTGGGTATATGCCCAGTAATGGGATCGCTGGGTTGAATGGTATTTCTGCCTCTAGGTCTTTGAGGAATAGCCACACTGTCTTCCACAATGGCGGAACCACTTTATACTCCCACCAACTGTATACAAGCATTCCCTTTTCTCCACTACTTCGACAGCATCCGTTGTTTTTTGAATTTCCAGTGGCCATTCTGACTGGTGTGAGATGGTATCGCATCATGGTTTTGATTTGCGTTTCTCTAATGATCAGTGATGTGGAGGTTTGCTTCATATGTTCGTTGGTCACATGTATGTCTTCTTTGGAGAAGTATCTGTTGATGTCCTTGCCCACTTTTTAATAGGGATTTTTTTTCTTGTAAATTAGTTTACCTTCCTTACAGATGCTGGATATTAGACCTTTGTTGGATGCATAGATTACAAAAATTATCTCCCATTCTGTAGGTTGTCTGTTTATTCTGTTGATAGTTTCTTTTGCTGGTATCACATTTATTGATTTGCATATGTTGAACCATCTTAATAAGTTCCACTAATCATGTGTATTAAGCATATTCATTTTTTTTTTTTGAGACAGGGTCTGCTTTGTCACCTAGGCTGGAATGCAATGGTGTGAACTCAGCTGGCTGCAATCTCTGCCTCCCAGGTTCAAACGATTCTCCTGCCTCAGCCTCCTGAGTAGGTTCAACTATAGGCACCCACCACCATGGCTGGCTAAATTTTGTATTTCTAGTAGAGACAGAGTTTGGCAGTGTTGGCCAGGCTGGTCTCTAACTCCTGACTTCAGGTGATCAGCCCACCTTGGCCTCCCAAAGTGCTGGGACTACAGTTGTGAGCCACCACACCTAGCTGTGTATTAACTTTTTGATGTGGTGTTGGATTTGGTTTTCTAGTGTTATGCTGGGGATTTTTTGCACCTATGTTCATCAGAGATACTGGCTTGTAGTTTTCGTTTTTTGTTGTGTCCTTGTCTAGATTTTGGCATCAGGGTGATCTGGCCTCACAGCATGAGTTAGGAAGAATTCCCTCCTCTTCAATGTTTTGGGATAGTTTGAGAAGAATTAGTGTTAGTTTTTCTTTATAAGATTGGTAGAATTCAGTCAGGCAGGGTGGATCCCACCTGCAATCTCAGCACTTTGTGAAGCTGAGGCGGGTGGATCACTTGAGGTCAGGAGTTTGAGACCAGCCTGGCCAACATGGCAAAACCCCATCTCTACTAGGAAAAAAAATACAAAAATTAGTTGGATGTGGTGGTGCATGCCTGTAAGCCCAGCTACTTGGGAGGCTGAGGCAGGAGAATCACTTGAACCCAGGAGGCAGAGGTTGCAGTGAGCTGAAATTACACCACTGCACTCTACCCTGAATGACAGAGCGAGACTTTGTCTAAAAAAAAAAACAACACACAACAACAACAACGACAACAAAAACAGTTGGTAGAATTCAGCAGTAAAGCCACCAGTCCTGGCTTTTCTTATTAAGAAATCTACTTGAAATGGATTGACAACTTAAGACTTAAAACTATAAAACTACAAAAAAAATCAAGGAAATGCTTCAGGACATGAGTCTAGGCAAAGATTTTATGGCTAAGACTTCAAAAGCACAGTCAAC